ATGGAGCTGAATGTCCCTTCTATGTGAAATTGTGACCAACTGCTTTTAACTACAAGTCCCTAACTCCTCACCTACCTGAAAGGCAAGCATCTGGACAGGACACTTGTTAGACTTAGTCCAGTTGGCTGCAGGCTGGTTATCTCTTCCTTCCCGCTCGCCTCCCTCCTCTTTTTCTTCCTTCTTCACTTTCTTTGTTTCTTATGCTCCTTCCTGGATGTCCAAAGACTTACTATACTATTTTCTTCCCACATAGTAGAAGTAAATTTTGTTCCATCTTTTCCTCTGACACCTACTCAATTAGCAAACCCCAAATGTTGTGGCAGCATTAAGTAATGAAAGGCAGAACAAATCACCTAACCACAAAGCTTTCACAAATAATTGCCTCAAAGATTCACATTTGTTGTTGTTGTTGTTGTTATTGTTTGTTTGTTTGCTTTATCTCTAGGATATACATAAAAGATTCAAGGTTAAAAAAAAAAAAACAAAAACAAAAGCCAGATGTTGGCTAGAGAAGAGACACCCTTCTTTCTTAAGAGATAAGATTCTTTTGATGGAAGCAGGGATTGAACTCAGGCCCTTACTCTTGCCAGGCAAGCACTTATTCTACTAAGCCATCTCCCCGGCCCCAGAGATAAGATGTTTGCTGTTGTGTGTACCTCTGTGGTACTATTTACCAAAATCATTATATTGCTTCTGCACTTTGTTACCTCTTGGTAACTTTATTTATTTTTATTTTTTTCTTTTTTACACTTTCAGTTTTTTATTTCAGAGAAACCAAGTGATATTTTAATATGAGTATCTACTTTATTTTACTTAAGAGTATGACTGCAAGGTCCATCCATTTGTCTAGAAATGTGTCAAGTTTATCCTTCTTTATGGCAAAGTAGTATTTCAATATATAAAAGCCCACTTTTTAATGTATTTCATACAGGGTCTCACTACACAGATCAGACTCATAGTGATCTTCCCGTTTTCAACCTCCCTAGTGCTGGGATTATAGGCATGCACTACCATGTCCAGTCAGCCTGTGGTGCTGGGGATAGGATCCCGGCACCTGCACTTGCCTAAGCAGCTGCTTAGGCAACTAAACTGTCTCACTAGCTTGAAAAAATCACATCTTCTTTATCCATTCTTTGGTTGCTAGGCATTTGGGCTGTTTCCAAAATTTAGCTATTACAAACTCTGCCACTCTAAACATGGGTTTGCATATAGTGCTGTGGAATATTCTCTTGGGAATATGTGAAGAAAGAAATAATGGGGTGGAATGGAACCTCTAGTCCTAGTTTTCTGAGGAATTACCACACTGATTTCCACAGTGGTTGCACCAGTTTACACTCCCACCAGGAGGGGAGAAGGCTTTCTTTCCCCCATACCTCCTTTAGCAATTGTTATTGGTTGATTTCTTGAAAACAACCACTCTTCTTAGAATAGGATGCAATCTCAGAATTGTTTTAATTTGCATTTCTCAAATGACCAGTGATGCTGAAGATTTTTCATATATTTATTTGCCATTTCTACTTCTTCATCTGTGAACTATTTCTTCATTTCGGATGCCTGTTTTTGAACTGGGTCTTTAAATTGGGAGGGTCTGGTTTTTTGAGTTCTACATATACTACTACTACTTTTTAAAAAATGTATTTAGTACAGGGTCTACAAGGTTTCACCATGCATCTCAGACTCATAGTGACCCTCCTGTTTGCAGCCTCCCAAGCATTGGGATTACAGGCGCGCGCCACCACACCCAGTTGCTGTCTCAGGGCATTCCGGGGGTTTGGCCTGAAAAGCACGCTGGGGGTCGAACTCTGGTCACTGCACCTGCCTAAGAAGGAGCTTTAGTCTGCTTCTTTTTGAGAATAGGTGTAGGCATAAACCATATGAGCAAAACCCTCTCACACAGGAAATATCACAAAGAAGTAACAACTGGGATTGCATCCTATTAAAAAGAAATCACCAAGAGAGTAAAGAGACAGCCCATAGTGTGGGAAATTTTTGACAGCTGTTCCTCAGAAAAAAAGACTACTGTCAGTAATATACAAAGAAGCAGACTAAACCTCTTGGTAAATGTATCAGTAAAACTGAGCTAGAAGGAAGAGACGTCACTGTGTAATGAACTCACAGAATCTTGGGGCTATTTTGGGAAGGAAATTTCTCTCTGTCCTTATCTCAAAAAAATGTGATTTTAAGATATTCTTCACATTTGAATATAGTATTACAATAAAGATGGGAATGACAGAGGTTTTATCACTTATGCCCCTACAGACCTTTACTAATATTAGCTATTCAGCTTAATAATATTTCTCAAGCAGTTACTGATAATATAATTGATCTAATATTTCTCTTTTATACTAGCCTATAAATAATATTTTAGGCTACAACAGTACATATTAATATACAGAGTGACTGTTGTGTTTTAATCACAATCGACCCTTATAATGCATTATTTAATTAGATATTGGCATATTACAGTGGCA